GGGGTGTTATAAAGAGCAAAATTTGGGGGGTGCATATTAAATGCATGTTGGATGCTTCTGCACGTGGTTGGTCGAGCTGCCTTGTGTTCACTTTATGGCTTTCTTGGCCAGCTCTTCTCACTGCTTTATATATAACGAGGTTTGTTTAGTTCTGTTTGGATTTTAGTGATGTGATGGCCCTGTTTTGAAATTAAGGTTTTAAAAAAAATTTACATAAAAGTATTAAGAATAAAGGAAATTTACACATGTATATATATCACACAATCCTTGTGAATTTACATAACTACTGTCTAAATTTGATCTTCATATTTTAGCGCCATAAATATGTATGAAAATGTATATTTATTTTTATAAAATTTGCAAGACTAATATTTTTATGTGATGTTAAATATTTAAGTATTATGCATGAAAATAGGAAAGTTTAGCTATTGCATATGTAAAACATATATAAGAATTATGGGGCATCTATGTAAATGCCCCCAAAATAAATATAATTATTGTGTGTTAAAAGATTCGCGGTCATAGAGTACTAATTTGGTGTATTAACTTTTGAGCCACAATAACATTTGTAGACCGCAAAGTTCAGAGTTGAAAACTATATGAGCTGTGAAGCATGTTGGCTGTAGTTAGTCATATGGGTTGTAATTGTGAGCTGTAATAACGTTTTGAGGTTGTGAATGCTAAAGATGGGAGTTGTATGAGTTGTGAGTCATATAAGTTGTAATTAGTCATATATGTCATAGTAGTGAGTTTTTATAACATTTGTAGACCATTGAAGCTATAGTTGAAAGTTGCATGAGTTGTTGACCACGTAGATTATAGTGGTGAGCTGCGATAAAATTCATATTCCACAAATGCTAGAATTGCGAGTTGCATGAGTTGTGGACCACGCAGACCGAAGTGATGAGTTGTAATAACGTCCACAGGCCACAAAGGCCAGAGTTGGGGGTCGCATGTGTTGTACCATCAACAATATAAGGTATAGTTGGTCACATAGACAATAATGACGAGTTGTGATAATGTATGTAGGCCACACAAGCTAAAGTTAGGAGTTGTATGAGTTATGGACTATGTAGGTTGTAATTGGAAGACAGCTTCAAAAGTCTAGAGAAAGTCACTATATTCTAAATACAACAATCGTATGTTGTTATTACAAAAAGTTATCGACGGATCCTTGATACAACATTATTCATGATCTATATTGGGAGTACATTATTACACCGTATGTAGGCTATGTTTTTATATCATATTTGAGATGTATTGTTGCACATAATTCATGACACGACACTGCTCGTCAACAAACTTTGTTATTCCACACGAGATTTTATTGTAAGCGAATACATCACTATGTGTGGTCCATCAATGGTGACGAGTAGAGGCAGCCGACGGTGATCAACGGTGGCTAACAAACGGTGGTCGGCAACTACAAACAATTCTGAAAATTAGCACATTCTCTTCTCTTTTGGTCTAGCTATAACTCCAGTACTAGCTCTTTAGTTCCCTTTTTATGAATGGGGCATGACTATATTTATAGAGTTTGGGAGTGACATCCCTTTCAAATAAGAACAAAATTTGGACCATTCTATCAGACAACTTAGATATATTCTCTCAATTTGGAAGATGTTTTATGGATATTTAAGTGTTTTTAATGATGTCAGAATCGAGTGATCTTGGGTTTTTTGGATTTGACTCATTGAGATGATAGATTTAACTATAAACTTGTCTGATTTGGAATCGAATTGTTCTTCTAATTGACCACCCTAAGCTTCTAAAAGTGGTTTAATAACTTGATTAGAGCTTGATTTGGCATAGATCTGACCAATATTTGTATCATTGGGTCCGTCTAATTAAATTAGTCAGTCTGACTATAAGTTTGTTGAAGTCAGAGTTCTGACTGATTTTTAATTTAAGTTTGAAGACTTCTTGCTAAAAAAAAAATCTCGAGATTTGTATCGAACGATAAAAATTTGTTAATAACATATCAATACTATAAATTGCTAAATTAAAAAAATAAATAATAGTATACTTAACATCATAATTTTATGGGTCATTTATAACATCTAAATTTTACTTCTTACATTAGTATCACTTAGATATTTTATATCACATCAGAAATTCCACTATTATCAATTTTAGACAGCAAAATACATAATTTTATGTATAAATAAGGTCACACACACACACACACACACATATATATATAATATATAATATAAAGTTCAAGTGTTGGATATGTAAATACACAGGAATTGAATGGTATGCATGTAAAATCATCCAATTTTTATTGAGTCATTCAAAAGTCTACAATGTTTTTGTCCTTTTTTCCATGGCCTATTGTTCCAGAACTATGACTTCCTCAATTCTTGAGGAATGTACATCTTGAAATGGTACTGGGCAAAACGTCAAATTGAAACGTTTACATGAACCAATTTCTTTAAAAAAATTTACTTGTAAAAATGTGTATCAAGGAAGATATCATACGGATATTTTCAAATAAATACAAATTTGAAGGATAGTTGAATGAAGAAAAGAGTTGTGACATAAAAAAATCTCATTTATTTTGTATAAGCTAACTCACTTTTCTTCTATTTGTTTTTATGTGCGGAAATTATTCACTTGTAAATTTACATCTGACTTAGTGAACTCTCTTCATTTGTTTGTTGTATTTTTCATCTTGAGTTTACCACACAGAATTTGTGTTCTTCTTTTGGTTATTTCATCGTTTCATACATTGATTCGATATCAAGTCATAAACAAGTGATACGGGGCCAACTTTTGATTTCGATGATGGCAACAATGATGAACAATATCCCTTTTTTAGATTGAAACACCATATTTTCGCTTTGGCGTGCTAAGATGCGAGCTGTCATAGTGATGAATCTAGAAGATGCGTTATTTGGGTTTGAAAAGATGCCCTTATCATGGATACTAGAGAAAAAACAGCATAAATATTGAAAGTCTCTTTCTCAAAGTCATCATTATCCGTCAAACCAAATTCTATAGGATATTTTGAAGGAGAAGACGGCTGCGGCGTTTTGACTGAAATTATAGAATCGTGCATGACGAAAAGTTTGGCCAAGATCTTGCACTTCAAGTAGCGTTTGCATTTTCACAATATGACAAAATGTGCATCGTTTATAAGTTAATTAACTTTCTATATGGAAATTATCTCTGATTTAAAAGCTATCCAAATTAAGTATGATGAAGAATATTTGATATTAGTCTTGTTGTGCTCGCTGCCTTCTTCCACAATGTTTAGATATATCATCTTGTTTCAAAGAGAGACACTCTCTAGACCAGGTATGTGATATTATATTATATAAGAAGAAGTCGTTTGAAACAGAACTCAAGAGAAAAAAATTATGGTGCTGTTACAAATAGTAGAATAAGTTTTAGAAATACTAATAAGACATACTATTACTGTAAATTAGTTCATATAATTTAAGGGCTTTTACTTATGTACTGCTCCATTACTATGTATTCACATATCAAACACTTAAATTTCAATTTTTACATGCCGACTATCTCATCTCTAAATATCGAAGAAGTTTAGGTGTGATATGTGAATATTGGAATTGGGTGGTAGCTGGGTAAATATACTTACAATTTATTATCATGAACACTATATTATTTTTATAATTTTGAAATCCAGTAGGACGACTCGTGCCGTCTTGGAGTCGAGGCCAGCGCATACAACATATTCCGAAAATACCCGACTGATCAGACGGAAGCTGTATTTGCTAGAGAAGCTCTTGAAGGATAGAAATGGAAATCTATGCAGCGGCAGCGAATGCCGGAGAGGGGTGCTTCTGTAACTCATCAGTCTTCGGCGAGGGTATATGCTCTGCGCGGATTCGCTTCTTTCCTTTTCTTCCAAAGAGTTAATGAAATGGTAGTATAGAAAGTGGGAAGATTTCAATTGAACCCATGCGTTATTTCTCTTGGCCTATTTAAGATGGATTTGAGCTGATTTACATATATTTATTTCAATATCAAGATGGATTAGATCTCAGGTTTGTTTCTTTAGATGGGGTTTCTTTTTGCACGTCGAACCATGTAAAATCTCATCCCCGCAATCTAGGTTTAGTTTGCCGAGTTTTCCTCGAGATTTGATTGGAGTAACGGTGATGCGATGGATGGCAATTGGGTTTTTTTGGTTTGGTGATTATTTTTGCCGCTTCTTTTTCTTTTATGTCTTTGTTTTTTGTTGTTTTATGATGGAGACGATTATTGTTGTTAGATGAGTTAGGTTTTAGTGGTTTTTGTGGTTTTTTTGTGCTCGTGTTGAGGAGATTATTGGGGCATTATATGAACTTCAGGTGGGCATAACGATTCGAGATCGGGTTGGTGAAGTTCTGTACTACCGCGCTTTTTTTCATCTGATTTCTACGTGATAATGTGCTAGGATTCGCTTTCTGAACTTGTGTAATGTTGATCACAAATTTAATCGGTTTTATATTTTTATTCGTCTCTAATTACGGAATTAGGTTTTTTATTTTGGATGCTGTGGTTGGAGGGATTTGTGATATTCGATGTGAAATTAGTCATGGAAAAAAAATTCTAATAAGCTAAAAAAATTAGGTTGTTATGTGCCCGTTACGTTCATGATACCTGCCTTAGGAGTATTTTTTTGTAATTGCAACATTAACTCTTATTTTGAGATCTGCAAAGTTCTTTGAAATTAAAACTTAAAAAAAGGAATTATGTGGCAGTTTAAATTGATTTGCCAAGCTGGATGAGGTTTGCAATGAAGCCTTATCCTTTCACTTTATCATCGTTGAATTGAGCACCTAAGTTGATATAATATTGGCATGAGGTAATTGCTTCAGATGCTAGAAGTTGATGATTTTGACATTGTTCTTCTTAAGATGATCTGATGTTTATATTTGCAATCATTTGTGGTATGATCCGATGTTTGAAGACAATTATTTCAGGATGATACATAATTCTTCATCTGCTTGATGTCAAATTGTATCTTATACATTAAAACTTAAATTCCACCATGAGCCAACAACAAATTATTATTTACAATGTAAGATGCCAAAGTGTCTAGTAATTTTTTGTTTTCACTTTTATAAAATATGTTTCTTTAATTTTTTGTTCAGGTAGAATTAATTTTTATCTTTTTTCCTTTTTTTTTTGGCAGGAGTAGCCTTTCTTTTGTCGTTTCTTTTGTACATCAGATATATGGAATGGATGCTTTAGGCAAACTAGACTAGATTTACAAAGGAATCTTGGGGTTATCGCCTTTGATGATGGATATTAATTATTCCGGGAAAGGAGTGATTTTATAGCTTTAACCTCAGGTTAACTTTTGTTGTCTAGAAATTTAGTTAAGTGGAGCTCTGCATCTTGATATATTACACTCAGGGTGGAACCTAAGCTGAGAAGTAACAAATTCATGTTCCAAGGGATGACAAACAAGAGTAATGTCATCGAGCAGGCTATTTGAGCTAAAAGTGCAAATGTGAACAAAGTATTGCTGAAACTTAAGAATATTTTAGCTGTGGAAAGGTTGTGTTATTGGAAAAGTATTACTCCAATCTGTGTACTAATGGAGGGTTTGGAATCGCCTTCAAGCCACATCAAATATGCCCCTTCTCGCAGGTTCTCTTCAAGCATTTCCCTGAAAGATTTGTGGTTGGCATCAAGGCATGGTTCTGTGGCTGAGGTGGATGCAGCTCTGTTAGCACTAAAGAAGAATGGTGGAAATGTGGATTTGCGGAATGCTTCGGGAGTTACTCCTCTTCACATTGCCATATGGAGGAATCATGTACCCATAGTTAAGAGGTTACTGGCTGCAGGAGCTGATCCTGATGCAAGGGTCTGTTATCTATGATATTGATTTAGTAATTTCTCATCTGTTTTTTTTTTACTATTCATGTTTGGATTTTTTTCTTGGTAGCATATTGAGGTATCATTATTGAAATTGTGTAACAATTTATTTTAAAAGACGACTAGAAGTTTTGGCAGCAGTAATAGATTATTATCCGGGTTATCTTTTCTTTGTGTGTGCATGTGGTATTCATTTGTTTGCTGAGAACCTCATTATTATCTTTGCTGAACTATATATGAGCATTTTTCTCTTTTTTGAGATATTTTAACTAAAAATCAGATATCTAGATTTGCTAAGGGCCTGTTTGGGCATTTTTATTTTTATTCATGTTTTTTATTATTTTAAAATAAGTTGTTTATTGCATTTTTCATATTTTTTTATCTTATATTTTCTAAATAAATCGACTTATTTTTATAAACCCTCCATTGTAGGTATTCTGAGTGTTTTAAATACAACTATCATCACCACCTGCAGGCCGTCAGTGAGAAAAAAAAAATAGAGTGTGTTTTATTTTAACATATCAATTATGTTTTGTTTCAAATCAAAACATTAACTAGATAAAATAAAAATTAAAAATAAAATACCGAAGAATCTCAAATAGCCTCTCAAGGTATACATAGGCATAGCTTCCAAGGAGTTCAAGAAAAGCAAATGATTTGTCATACTAGTTCTTATTTCTTCAAGTTAATGCTTATAATTCAACAACAACGATAGTATTTTCTTATTATCGCAAGTTAGGCTATATAAGTGTTATGTTTTACTCTGAAGAGTAAGAAGGAAGCATTGCTCTTAAGGCTTGGGAAGCCATTTTTTTTTAGATGAGCGGTTTTGTGTAAGCGCGGCAGTTTCCTTTCCCCAGGTGATTTATCAACTAGCACAAAACATATGACTCTTTTATTAAGTTGGGTAGATGCTTCCCACAAATAAACCTGGTTTCATATTGCGTATTATAAATACTTTTCCTATATAAATTGCTAGTAAAAGTTAATCGCCTGCAACTCCAATCATTAATATTCTATCTTCTGATATTGCATTTTCAGGATGGAGAGTCAGGATGGAGCAGCCTGCACAGGGCACTCCATTTTGGCCATCTTGCTGTTGCAAGTGTTCTTATACAGGCTGGTGCATCTCCCACAGCAGAGGATTCTAAATGCCGTACCCCAGTTGACCTTCTCTCAGGGCCTGTTTCTCAAGTTGTTGGCAATAATCTTGGCTCAGGTCGTTCATTCTGAAATTTTGTTTGAAATTCCACAATTAGTTTTTGCATATTGTCTTAAGAGTTATGGCTTAAATTAGTAAAGACAAGTTTTGTTATTCCATATGATTAATTTCATATATTTCTTACCTACTTGATGAGCATTTAATATTTGCATGTGGGAATGTTTTGAATTTAATTGCAAATGCCTCATCCCTTTTAAGGGTCTGCTGGGACAGTTTTTTGTCTGTTTTGCATTTCAGATCACCACCACAATTTAGTTAAGGGAACTATTTTCTAGCTACTTTCTAAAAATTTTGGTGGTGGGGAGATGTTTTTTTGCAACCAAATCTGGTCAATTATGGCGGCCGCAAGAAAACTGTTGTCTCACTTCTTTTAAAAAATAAATATTTATAATTCCCACCATAGTTTTTTAAGTAGTTTTTACAACCACAGCTTTACAATTACTTTTATAAAAAGATGCAGCTACCCAAATAGACCCTAAGTCACCCGCAGATTTCCACCACTTTGTATTCGTTGGTTCTAATGTTTTTCTTCTGATTTTCGAAATTGCTTCAATAAATTTCTAGTGAAATTTTAATTGTTTTTTTGTCCTTGCAGTTGCAACTGAAGTCTATAGCTGGGGAAGTGGGACAAACTATCAGCTTGGAACTGGCAATGCTCACATTCAGAAACTCCCAGGAAAAGTAGACGCACTTCATGATTCCTATATTAAGATAATTGCTGCTTCGAAGTTTCATAGTATTGCCGTCGGTTCAAGTGGGGAGCTTTATACTTGGGGATTTGGTAGGGGCGGTAGGCTTGGACACCCAGATTTTGATGTTCACAGGTTACTAATTTTTCCATGCATACCACATTTTTGTCTATGGATTTTCAGTTCTTTAGTGATTGATTTCATTTATGCTTACTTCTTACTCAACTAAAATTCTAGTTTCATCGACTTTCTGATATTGCATCACCTATCAATATGATGTGTTTTTATTGTTCTGTTATCTTATTTTACAGGTGATTGAATGGGACCAATTGCTGATTCTTGTTCTAAATTTTGTCTCTTAGATTTTCATATTTAAGACAAACCATAAGTTTGTCGCGTTCTTGATCTAAAGCAATTCTCAATGTGAATTTCTAAGAAACCTTTGGTAAAGCTTTATTTTATAATGGGTTGCATTTTCCTTATTTATCCCATGGAAGAGAATCAATGATCAAAGGATTTATAATAGGGAAGACCATACAATAAGGAGGGATCCTGTATGATCTCGTTCATAATACCGAAAAGCTTTTAAATACATTCAGATGTTTCGAATAATCTTTTAAATGATTATTCTCAGAAAATACTTTTCGTCTTTAAGATCATTTTCTTCTACATTAGTTCTTTGAGGATTATTATTTAGCGATGAAAGCCATGGATGATCTTCTTTATCAGGACCATTTCTCTTACTGTATAATCTCGTCCCGGTGGGGCTGCTTGCTATGGCAGAATGACTTTTTATATTTATATTTTTATTTATACTTTATGTTTTTATTTTTATTTATATGTATATATATCTGGTGACTTGCCATAATTGTTGGACAAGAAGTTAACTTGCATTGACATTGACTTCCACAAGGCATTAATTTTTTAAAGAAATGTCCCAAGTCGTTATTCTATTATTTAGAAAAATTTTATTAATGTATTCCTGACATTTCTAATTAGTTTCACAGATCTAAATCTTAGGCAATGGGTGAGTATGTAAGACGATACCTAGAGAGATTTCTTGTAAATGGAAAATTGTCCACGGTCGACATGATTTAATAGTTAAATGAGAACAAATGATCTCGATGTGCGGATAGTTTGGTTATTAATATTAGGCGTGGCAGTTTTTGTTTTGTTTTTATTGTGGTCAAAGTGATTCCATTTCCATAATGATCAGCACCCTTTACAGTTTTCATTAGAGTGTGGGTTTCTATGCATTATTTCAATTTTTACAAGCTACGAGATGGTAGAAAGTTTGATTTTCTTCTACCAATTTCTCTCTTCTCTTTCTTAAAATCTGTTTCGTATATGTCTCCTTGAAGTTTGTTATTCTAACTTGCTTTTTGTCTCCAGCGGACAAGCTGCTGTTATTACTCCCCGCATGGTGGCGTCAGGGTTGGGGTCTCGTCGAGTAAAGGCTGTCGCTGCAGCAAAACATCATACAGTTGTTGCAACTGAAAGTGGGGAAGTTTTCACTTGGGGATCTAATAGAGGTATGTGCAATTATGTGAGGCATCTTTGCGCTTAAATTTGCATAACCATGAGGCCCATGGCATGCTGGCTTATGTTGTAGTCGGTACAATTTGCATCAATGTACTCTAGTGTTCCATGCTCAACTTATTCCTATTTTTGAATGTGGTATTCATCTATATACCTCACAAGTCATATGTATTTACATATATAGCTCCTAAACTTTCAACTTATATAATTCTTTAACGTCTCCATCAAGTCAAAACATGTGTGAAAATATTTATTTCATTTTTTTAAAACATTACTATTAATGATATTTTTGATTGAACTTAAATGTTGAATATTATATAATTATCAAACTTTAGGTGTTAGATATGTAAATACATAAGAAATGTGCGGCGTGTATGTAAATCCACTTTTTTAATGGTTATATGTGGTTTGGTTACTCATTGATAAATTTTGAATTTAATATTCATATAGTAAATCAAGGCATAAATTTTCTCCTTTCTATTAAGTAATCCACGAGTCATGGTGAACATATTTATTTCACCAATGAGCATGATATTTTTCAAATCCAAAGTTAACCTTGTTTGCAACCACATCTTCTAAAAGCCGTACTAACAATCTGTATTGAATCAATCTGCTTCGACTAGTGCTTGAGTCATGGAATGTTTAGGATGTGTAATTTATTTAATTTTATTAGAATATTAGAATAATAACGACCATCCCTAGCCATTATTAATAAGCATATTGTTGTTTTATTTGCTTTTACTTGCTTTTATTTGCTTTCTTATTTCCTTTTATTTTGCTTTTATTTCTTTCTTTATGAGTGTCCCTTATAATAGGGTTTATATACCCCTCTTTCTATCAATAAGATAAGTTGCTCTACTCAAATATTTCAACATGATATTAGAGTTGGGTTCTAACCCTAGATCCCAGCCAACGCTGACCTTCCCTTCAGTCGCCGCAGGCCTTCCCTGCAGGGTCTTTCGTAGGGACTCGTAGTCGTCGTCCTTTCCGACTGGACTCTACAACTACCAACCCTTCCCTGGAGTTTCCTGCAGTTGTGAACCCTTCCCTGTTGTCTCCTATAGTTGTCGACCTCCTTAGCAACCGCTGGCCTCCTCCCTGCAGGTGCAGATTTTTCCGCCGATCATCCTAGCAACTGAAATCCGACGATGTCTCAGAATCCCAACCACATCTTCTTTGGCTCGGTCGGAATCATGGTGGACTCCTCCAACGTCGAGCCATCCTCATAAATTGTTCTAGAGTCCACTAGAGGTTCGACTCTAATCTCCGTTCCTATACAGACTGTTGAACCAAAAAAATCAACATGAACTTCTTGATCTAAACTTATAAGCTTAACAACAATAACTTTCTCCAATGGTCCCAAGTGGTGTATTTTTTTATCAAAGGACTCGGGAAATTCAATCATCTAACAGGTATTCTCCGTGAACCTCCAAAGACTGACCCACATATGGAGCTTAGGAAATAGAGAATTCCATAGTCATGTGTCGTGGCTGATCAACTCCATGGAAGTGTCAATTGGTCGTTCATACATGTTCCTCCCTTCTGCTAGTGCCCTCTAGACGACAGTTCATGATATATAGAATGTACTAAATTCCAGCTAACTCTATGAGGCGTTTAAGAAAATCCGAGAGGCAAAAAAGAGATCAAGAACGGTGACCTAATACTACAATGGCCTAGTTGCAATATGGATGGAGTGCGACCTGTACAACGACTACAATTGAGGACTCTCCAGTCGAACTTTCTCTTTTCCAGAAAATTCTACAAAAGGATTACATGTTCCAATTTCTTACAGGCCTCAACAAAGACCCTGACGAAATCCATGGCCTTATTCTTGGTCGAGATCATCTTCCTTCTGCTCACGCTGCTTTCACCGAGATTCGCCGCAAAGTGAACAAGAGACTTGTCATGCTCAACATTTCCACTTCTTCAATTGAATCGTCCGCCTTGGTCTCTAATAGTGCTCAACCTTCTTCCATGTTGCCTCAAGCAAGTCATCTCACTTATGATTACTGTCACAAACCCAACCACACTTGTGACAAGTTTTGGAAGCTCCATGGAAAACCGACATACAAATCGTCTACCAAATGTGTTGCTGTCAAGGGTCTCACTACGACATCAGATTCTATCAAGGTTTAACCAGCTCCTGCCCATACCATTCTGGAAGCCTTCGACTCTCTGAAAAGTTGGATGGAGCACTTAATTAAGCTACTTGGATCCAATCAGTTATCTGTTGACCGATCGATCTTACCAACCCGTCAATGTACTCTTCCTATGACACTCACGTTTTTTACTTTCTCTAGTTTGTGGATCAATGATTCAGGTACCACGAATTATATGATTGGATGCTTGCAAGCTTTCTCGACATATTATCCATGTTCTAAAAAAGATACGATCAGAATTGCGGATGGCTCTCATAGTTCCATTGCTTGTAAATGGTATGTTATTCTAACGACCGATCTAACTCTGAAATATGTGTTATATGTACCGCCGTTGAAGTGTAATCTTTTATCTGTCAATAAGTTGACATATGATATTAATTGCGTTGCTCATTTCTACATGGTGTTAGTGTCTTTCAGGATTGTCGTTTGGGAAAGATAATTGAAACTGCTGAGAGGGTGGTCAGGGGCCTAGACTCTACTATTTCTAAGAGAAAAACATAGAAAACGAGGACATACCACTCAATAGTTGTAGTTTATCCTGATTCACTGAATGTCTTATTATATATTGTTGCATTGTCGTTTGGGTCATCTTAGTTTTCAATATTTAAAATATTTGTATCCATTGATGTTTTCTAATAAAAGTCTTTATAGTTTCAATTGTGAGATGTGTCAGTTATTCAAACATTTCCGGGTTCATTACTCACCCCACACTTACACACATTTCGCTCGTTTTTCACTCATTCACTGTGATGGTTGGGGATCCTATCACACTACCAGCTACACCAATAAATGGTGATTATTTACTTTGATCGATGACCACACTCGGATGATGCGAGTCTATATTTTAAAAGACAAATAAACTTGTTACCTTCCAGAACTACATATTCATTTGGACCCAATTCAAAACTTCAATTCAGGTTCTTTAGACCGACAATGATTAAAAGCTTTTTAACTCTATTTTAGGTGAATTTTTTGTAAGGGCATCCTTCACCATAGCTCGTGTGCGGATACTCGTCAACAAAATGAGGTAGCTGAGAGGAAAAACCGATAACTCCCTGATGCTGCTCGCTCCATTATGTTTTAAACTAATGTCCCAAATAATATTTAGAATGATGCTCACCTATCTCATAAATTGAGCCCCCTCTAAAATTCACAACTTCCGAATCCCTTTAATCGTCTTGATGTCATGCTTTCTTGCCAATTGTGTTTTTTCCACTTTAGATCCCAAAATATTTGGGTGCACGACCTTTGTGCAGGACACTGTCACTACTCGGAATAAACTTGATCTCAGATTCATAAAATGTGTCTTCCAGGAGTACTCTGCCACTCAAAAAGAGTATCAGTGCCTTGATTCTATCATAAATAAAATCTATTGAGTGTTGATCTCTCTTTTTTTGAAAATTTTTCCTATTTTTCTAACTCGACCTCAAGTGAGGGGGAGCTAGAGTTCTTGGATACTATTTTTTTTCCTACTCCTATGGATGTTCCCCCCATTGTATCTGCCATCGAGGAATCCCCAGTTCCTGTTCTTCCACCACCTCCTCCCACTCTTCGTGTCTCTACTCGGCGCACCCGTCCCGATGCCCCTACTCTGGAGCTCGCTACCTCCTTATCGGACCTTGAATCCACTCATAGTGACATTCCCAATATTACTACTCCAAATGAGGAGGTGAGTTCCTCGAGTAAGGTACGCAATCAGACATGCTCTTTCTACTCCATGACATAATGTCTCTTTTCACAGTTTATCACCGACCTATAAAGCATTTGCTACTACCTTGATGGATCATCAAATTCCAACTACTTATGAGGTTGAGCTAGCAGATCCGACCTGGAAAGCTGCAGTAATGAAGGAGATGAATGCCCTTCGGCGGAACCATACATGGGATGTAGTTGATATTCTCAGGGCAAAAAAGCAGTGGGATGCCGATGGATTTTTAGCATCAAGTTCGAGTAAGGTATCCAATCAGGCATGCTCTCTCTATTCCATGACATAATGTCTTTTTTCACAGTTTATCACTGACCTATAGAGCATTTGCCACTGCCCCGATGGATCATAAAATTCCAACTACTTATGAGGCTGAACTAGCAGATCCGACCTGGAAAGCTGCATTAATGAAGGAGATGAATGCCCTTCGGCGGAACCATACATGGGATGTCGTAAATATTCTCAGGGCAAAAAAGCAGTGGGATGCCAATGGATTTTTAGCATCAAGTTCAACTCAGTTTGATCTTTTGAACGCAACAAGGCACAGTCGATCACCAAAGAATACTCAGACCTAGGAGTTTACTATGAGGAGACATCTGCTATGGTGGCCAAGTTAAACACCATTTAGGTCATGTTATCCCTTGCGGTGAATCTGGATTGCCCTTATTCTAGCTCGATGTCAAGAATGCATTCCCGACTGAATATCTTACAGAGGTGGTGTACATGTCCTTCCCTGCCAGCTTTGACTCTACTACCTCCCAAGGGCAATTATGTCAGTTGCAAAAATCCCTCTATGGACTAAGCAATCCCTACGAGTTTTATTTGACAAGTTCATAAAAGTTATAGTGGGTCATGGTTTTACTCAAGCTCAATCGGATCACACTCTCTTCTTTCGACATTTATTTAATGATCAGATTGTTATTCTTATCGTCTATGCTGACGATATTGTGCTCACAGAAAATGATCCACCGACATTGAAGTTTTTAAAAGGCATTCTAGTTGCATCCTTTGAAATGAAGGACTTTAGTTCCCTCCGATGCTTCTTTGGCATAGAAGTTGCTCGGTCAACTCGATACATTTAATTGTATCAGCACAAATGTGATTGATCTGTTAATAGAGAATAATTTGATTCTATGCAAACTGGTGGTTGTCCCAATGAAATTCCAATGAAAAATTACTTGCCAACATCTTGTGGGGAAACTCATCTACCTCGCTCATACACGCCCTAACATATGCCACGCAGTTGGTATAGTAAGTTAATTCATGCATGACCCCTATGAGTACAATTTCTACATTGTCCACCAGATTCTCTACTGTTTAAAAGGCATACCAGGCTCATGTTTGTTTTTCTTACGCCACATCTCTCATTTTGTTGTTGTTTATACAGATGCTGATTAGGCCGGATCAGTTCATGATCGACAGTCTACCTCTGGGTATCGTTCATTTGTGTGGGAAAATTGTCATGTGGAAAAGAAAAAAGCAGTTGGTGGTTGCCCGGAACAGTGCTAAAGCTGAATTCCAATCCATGTCTTTGGGGATCTGTGAAGCTCTCTGGTTACGTATCATGCTTTGGAAATTACGTATGCCAACCTCCGGCCCTCTGTAGTTGTTCTGTGATAATAATGTCGCTATTAACATTACCCACAACTCGATCTAGCATGATCATACCAAACATGTGTAGATTGATAGACACTTCATCAAGGAAAAACTTATGTCCGAGAAAATTTGTATTTCTTTTGTGACTTCCAGTACTTAGCTAGTGGACATCCTCACAAAGAACCTTCCTCGATCACTGTTTGATGTTTTCAAATTCAAGTTGAACATTGATGTTTTCAAATCCAAGTTGAACATGATTGAAATTTATGTTTCAACTTTAGAGGAAGTATTAGAATATTAAAATAGTAACGACTATCTCTATCCACTATGAATATGTGGATTATTGTATTATTTGATTTTTATTTGCTTTTATTTACTTTCCTCTTTTTCTTTCTTATGTTTTTATTTCTTTCCTTATGAGTGTCCCTTGTAATAGAGTTTATATACCCTTCTTTCTATCAATAACGTATTCTGCTCTACTCCAATATTTCTACATTCTTGATACTAATCCTTGAAGGATTAAGTGTGATACTTGAGACATTTTAGGAGAGGCAATATCTATTTCAAGAATTGAGCTTACTTATCTTCTCTCTTCTAATCTCTATCACTACCCGGCCCGGGGGCTTGGAACTACCAAGGCGGAAACTGACGGTTAGATGGAGGAAACCTATCTAACAATTTCATTTCATAATGAAATAAAATCCCCCAAAGCAAAAAAAAAAAAAAAAGTCATGTTAATTTATAAAACTTACTTTTATAATACTTATTTCATATATAAACTTTTATATTTAACGTGCAATAAAACTGAATCATAATACCTATCAGCTTGCGCTCCACAATGTCTGTACACGTACTTCTTAGAGTTTATCTACTCTACAACTGATTTTCCTGTAAAAATATTAGCAACTATGGTTTGATTTAAAATTACTTGGTGGGTAAATGTTTTTAAATTATAATAATTCTCATTTTAAAATATTTTGTAAAATTGTTGTATAGAAGAAGACTGTGCAGTAAAAAAGAGGAGTAAAGTAAACAATTTTATTTTCTTTCATTAATTGGGATTTCTCTTTTCATAATTTAAGAGTCAGAGTCTAAACATATATTGTTAAAAAAATATATATACATTTAACATTTTCCAACCACCATAAAGGTAGGCAATTCATTTTCATTTTCATTTTCATTTTCATTTCCATTTTTATTTTCATTTCTTGCACAGGTGCGATGCATTCTTCTACTAGTACTATTTAGGGGTGACTCCCATATGCATGCATATATTATATTTTATTCACTTTTTTATCTTGCATTGAACATTTAAAATGAAACTTGAACTTTTACATTTTAAAAGTAAAAACTGGGAAATAGTAAAACCATCCATAAATTAATAGAACTATGGTAAAATAAAAACATATAACCAACCATAGAAATGTCGTCTGCTATCATTTCTCTCAGATCAATGTAATTTTTTTTCTCAGATCAATTTAATTCTTTTTATGAACCTATAACAAGATAACCTTTATTAGTCTCTATTAGTTTTATTTTATTTTTTTATTTTTCACAAGAATTCTATCATAATTAGGATATTAAAATTTTCTATTACATTTTCTCTAATAAAGTCACCAGCTTAAGTGGCTTTCCCGTATAAACATATATGCATATACTTGTAGGAATATTCAATTAAATTTTATGTTAAAGCTTCTAACAATTTTTCCTTGTTGCAAAACTCCTTGATATCAACTTAATTATAATTGAGTTTTAAATTTAAGATTTTTAATTTCCATTTTAACTTGAATTAATTAGAAAAATAATAATTCATTATTGAAATCAAGTATTATACTTGAAGTTTTCATCTCCTTTTTCTGTCTTTGCTTCGTCGTTTAAATCCTAAAATTGTAAGAATCAACATTAAGTTTTTTCTGAGCATTAATGAAATTAATTAACATTTACATTTTGTAATTTAATTAATCAATTACAATTGAAAATTTGAAAAAGAAATTAATATTTACTTTTTTAAATGTCGGTCTTGCCCTATTATCTTTGAACTGAGTAGTAAAGGTTTGATCAATCCCTTCGTAACATGTCGAATGATCCCCAGAGCCTTTCCATCCTCTCCGAGCTCTCGGCCAAGCTTCTATTGGCCGCTCAAGCTCTCTCCTTCCTCGTTTGCAGACTGCCACAAAAGGGATCTTGCGAGCCCTTCTTCCCCTTCGGTTCGATTGCACACAATGGAGGGAAATGATTAGGTAAGCGGCTCGCCTCCTCTAGCTCACTCCTCTTCTTCTTCTCCCTCAACTATGGCTTCTTCTTCTTTCTTCTCCTTTCTCTACTTCCTTTACTCCACTCTCCCGATCTCTCATGCTTCCTTTAGCTTGAATGAACTGAGGTGTGAGAGAGTCAAACTATTTTTAATTTCAATGTAGAGATGCGGTTTTTTAAGAGAGACACACACACACACAAATATTGTGTGTGTATATGTATGTATGTATATATATGTATGTACACGTACTTCTTAGAGTTCATCTACTTTACAATTGATTTTTCTGTAAAAATATTAGCAACTATGGTTTGAGTTAAAATTACTTGGTGGGTAAATGTTTTTAAAGTACAATAATTTTTATTTTAAAATATTTTGCAAAATTGTTGTATAGAAAAAGACTGTGCAGTTAAAAAGAGGAGTAAATTAAACAATTTTATTTTCTTTCGTTAATTTGGATTACACTTTTCAAAATTTGAGAGTCACAGTCTAAACATATATTTGTTAAAAAAAATATACATTTAACCTTTTCCAACCACCATAAGGTAGGCAATTCATTTTCATTTCTATTTTTTATTTTCATTTCTTGCGCAGGTGCGATGCATTCATCTACTAGTACCATCTAAGGGAGACTCCCATATGCATGCATATATTATATTTTATGTATTTTTTTATCTTGTATTTAACATTTAAAATGAAACTTGAACTTTTACATTTTAAAAGTAAAAGCTGGGAAATAGTAAAAACATGTAATAGAACTATGGTAAAATAAGAACATATAACCAACCACAGAAATATCGTCTGCTATCATTTTCCTGAGATCAATTTAATTCTTTTTATGAACCTATAGCAAGTTAACCTTTATTAGCCTCTATCAGTTTTATTTTATTTTTTATTTTTCACAAGAATTCTATCATAGTTAGGATATTAAAATTTTCTATTACCTTTTGTCTAATAAAGTCATCAACTTAATTGGCTTTCCCATATAAACATATATGTATATACTTGTAGGAATATTCAATTAAATTTTACTTAAAGCTTCTAACAAGTTTTCCTTGTTGCAAGCCTCCTTGATATCAACTTAATTATAATTGAGTTTTAAATTTAAGATTTTTAATTTCCATTTTAACTTGAATTAGTAAGAAAAATAATAATTCATTATTGAAATCAAGTATTATACTTGAAGTTTTCATCTCCTTTTTTTTTGTCTTACCTTCGTCGTTTAAATCCTAAAATTGTAAGAATCAACATTAAGTTTTTTTGAGAATTAATGAAATTAATTAATATTTACATTTCATAATTTAATTAATCAATTACAATTGATAATTTGAAAAAAATAATAATATTTACTTTTTTAAATGTTGGCCTTGCCCTATTATCTTCAAACTGAGTAGTAAGGGTTTGGTCAATCCTTTCATAACATGTCGAATGATCCCCGGGGCCTTTCCATCCTCTCTGAGCTCTCGGCCAAGCTTCTATGGGCCGCTCAAGCTCTATCCTTCCTCGTCTGCAGGCCGCACAAAAGGGATCTCGCGAGCCCTTCTTTCCCTTCGATTCGATTGCACACAATGGAGGGAAATGATTAGGCAAGCAGCTCGCCTCCTCTACTTCTCTCCTCTTCTTCTTCTCCCTCAGCTATGGCTTCTTCTTCTTTTTTCTCCTTTCTCTACTTCCTTTACTCCACTCTCCCAATCTCTCACGCTCCCTTTAGCTTGAATGAACTGAGGTGTGAGAGTGAAACTATTTTTAATTCCAGTGTAGAGATGCGGTTTTTTAAGAGAGAGGCACACACAAATATATATATATATATATATATATACATATGCATGCATGTGTATGTATATATGTATGTCTACATATTTTCATATTTCCGTTATTACACTCTAGCACTTTCTCTCTTCTTTATTATATGATTGGTCGGGAGTGATATTGGTTTGTTTAAGATCTATTGAAACATAATTTGTTTTCTATCTACGAAATCTGAATCAACATGATTTGTTTTCTATGGACGATGTCTGAATCGACTGTGCTTCTTTCATGGTCTTCAATTTTTAATTGTTAATTCCTATTATAAGATCTTGTTCTTAATATTGGAATTTGATTATATTATTCTATTTTTATTGTAATTTGTACAGCAGTTTCGGGGGATGACGCGCATCATTCAAATGCAGATCTAGCATATGATATATATTCATTCTTTTTCTATTTTACATTTTGCAGAGGGACAGCTGGGTTACACTTCAGTTGATACTCAACCAACCCCGCGACGAGTGAGCTTTCTTAGGGTACGAATAGTTGCTGTTGCTGCTGCCAACAAACATACTGTAGCTGTTGCTGAATCCGGTGAAGTTTTCACATGGGGAAGCAACAAGGAAGGCCAGCTTGGTTATGGCACATCCAATTCAGCATCCAATTACACACCTCGAATGGTCGAGTACTTGAAAGGAAAAGCTTTCAAAGCAGTATCAGCGGCGAAGTATCATACGGTAGTGCTAAGTTCTGAAGGGGAGGTAAATATTTGACACAATCATCACATTAGGGGCTTAGTTACCCATGTTTTAATCTGATCTTTGATTCTCGTATAATTTAAGGTATTCACATGGGGTCATCGACAAGTCAACCCAAAACGTGTTATTATTGCCAGGAGCTTGAAGAAATCTGGTACCGCACCACTTAAATTCCATCGGATGGAACGGCTTCATGTCGTTTCGGTTGCTGCTGGAATGACTCATAGCAGTGCTCTAACTGAAGATGGTGCTCTATTCTACTGGGAATCTTCAGATCCTGACCTGAGATGCGAGCAGGTTTTTTCCTCCACTAATTTCTCTTTGAGCCTATTTTCTTTGCTAGCTCAGATAAGGAACGATTAAGTGCGGATAGAGAGCATAGGCTCAATATTCTCTTCTTTGATTGAGTCTGTGATATTTTAATGTAGCATTTGCATGCATACCACTCAATTCTTATACATTTACATATCTAACAGCTTAACTCTACCTTTTACATTTGTACCACCCAAATCTTTTATATCACATAAAAAATACAACTATTCTAACTTTGAAATGTGAAATACACCTTTCCACGCATACGGAAGGTGGCATATCTATTTATATATA